GCTCGTCTACCTTCACTATGTCTGGTCACAGTCACCATCCCTGCTCTCGGGCAAATGGTGGATGCCACCGATTACGGTGGTTGAACACACTGTGTTGGCAGTATGTTGTTTACTGCAACGCCCATGCCAAGGACGATAAGACAACAAAACTTCAACGCGTAATAGGGGACCGATTGTAAAAATCGGGTGAATGTGTGGAACGTGATGAAGGAAAGGCGAGAACAAAACCGAACACCAATCCTTTCCTACGGTTGATTCTCTTGTAGGGGTCTGCCGCTCAGCGCAAATGCGCTGCCTTCGTTCGCCAAGCCTCGCACGCTCGTTGTCGACTCGCCGCGTGTAAGCTTGACGCTAATCGACACTCCCGCTTCATTTGATTTGCGTCAGCCGACAGACTCCCCATCCCGCGCAGCCAAAGCTTCACACACACTCACCGACGCGACAAGCTGCTGTACGTGACCCTTGCGGAAGCAATTATAGGACCACTTTAGGCCAGTAAAGCTGTTCCTCTCGACTCGAAATCTCACGAAATGGAGGTTCTGAAATATCTAATTCATTGGACGAAATTATAAATATCGTGCAGCGACATCTCGAGATATTTTAATCACGCAAGGGTGCTGGTTTTTTCTGGTTTTCTTCAAAAAATAGGGTTAATTGCGTATTCTGCTGACGAATATCTGCGTAAGTTGCCTTTTTCCAATGCAACATTAGGGTAAAAATGGGGAACTTTGACCGGTTTTTGATTTTTCTGAGACGTGCGGATAAGATTACGGTTGAAAATTGTTGTAACCTAGTGTGTTCCTGTGTATACACCGGTTATGTTCCCCCAGTACGTGTTAGGAAGAGAAAACAGGATAGGATAACTGATGGTACTTTACTGTCACTTGTACAAGTACCTCAACACTGGTCCGTGTGTCCAACAGTCGGCCTTCTGTGGTCGGTCTCGCTTCGGCAGCAGTGTCGTGTCGTCGCAGCGCGTCCAACAGTAGAGTCCCCGTTCTGCTGGCAGCCTCGCTTTTTAAGGGGTAGTCGTCATTGCTCCATATTGGCTCTCGCTTGGCACGCTCGCTTACTCACATCTGTGCGTCTGTCCTCGCGTGGCCTCACTGACAGCAGCAGTCCGGCTCCTAGGGCAGTCTGGCTCCGCATGCCTTCTTTGTCCTGGCATAATGTCCACCCTTTGAAGGTCGTGGGACAATGGTCCGTTGTGTATGCGGACCTCATGTGACCTCGTACTGTCTGACGTCTGGGTGACGTGCTCGGCCACCCTAACACAAATAAAAGCGGCGCACTCTTCAGAAGTAGAATATGCGATCACTGGAACAAGACGTTTATTTGCCTGACGGTTCTAATTCTGTCGAGAAGCCTTAATCGCACTCTTCTGGGCCAACGGGGCGGTCTTCGCTGTACTTGATTACTCGAGAGTCCTGATCTAAGATTGCGGATGCACCAAATAGTGGCCGAATATATAAGAAGATTTTGCGTTATCTGTTCATTTTCGGGACGTTCCGTTTCTAAATTACACATAAGCTGAAACTACCTTGTACAAAAAAGTGTCTTGCAACATGCCTAAACTTAACAGGAATACCTTCGGTGTTCATCTCCATGGTATGAAAACCGTATTTTTGTTTACATTTCCAAATCGTCCGGCATGGGTTCGGACTGGAGGTCCAAGATTAGAATTGAGGTGAACGATAGTCTTAATTACAAATATGAGCACCGCGCTTATTTTCTAGGGGTAAGTGCTAGTTAGAGCTTTGTTATGTCAGTCGCTAGCGATTTGCTAGACGTTTTAGCTTCTGTTAGTTTATCTCATTCCTAGGTCATAACGCTTCTTTTTTCAAACTGAGTCCTGCTTCGTAAACAGAATTGGCCCTTTAAAATAAAACGTCTTGCTATTTGCTCTTTTTTTATTCCAATTTATGTCGCTGCATTTTCTCTTGTTGACATGTTTTCTGCTTCCATAATTACCACTATCCCCACCTTACAGGAGAGCTTTATTTCTCGGTTTGAAGATTGGTGGTTCTACCTAATCGGTCTTTTCCCGTTCTTGCCGAAAAATTTTTTTCAGAAAACGGCAAAGTTGCCACTTTTTGCCTTCTCTTTTTCCAGGTTCTTCTGGAAGTAGTATTGATAACCTCCCGAATGCTAATGTCTACATGCTGCCTATGGACCCGGAGTTTGAGATCCCAGCGAGAAGCATTCGTATATGTGAACGTCTTGGTGAGGGCGCCTTTGGGGCAGTGTTCAGAGCTCGACTGAGGGGCCTGCCAAGACGCCGTGATGTCGTGGGAGGCATCGAAGCCGCAGTCAAGACACTCAAGGGTTGGTTTTATGCCCTATGTCATCCAAACTAGGTCACT